AAAAAAAAAAGCCAGCAAAGGCTTGACATTTATTATTGACAGAGAAACTGAAAAATGTAATTGACTTAAAGCAGGTTATTAAATGTCATCATCATCTATAAAACATAACATGATAGTCTAAAAATACTCAGTGGGAGTTTTTCTTTTGTGTGAGAGCTGCTTTTTCCATATGAAGGGAGAAAAGGAAGAGAATGATTAGATACTGGCTGAGATATTTTGATGTCGATTCACAGAGCTTTAAATTAATGGGTTCTCCAGTTAGCATAAACATATAAGGAATAAGAGCGTAGAAAGAAAAAGTTGACTTTTAGACAACCATTTTGTACACGTTTGTTCTCATAGGGAAGAAAAACACCACATTTTAATTTCTTAATGTAGGAGAACGTTTTATAAAAATATTTTCACTCACACTGTGCTTTGGTACATGTCTAATGGCAGGAAGTTGGATGCTATAGCTTATGGGGGATAGGACTAATAATGATTCTTATCTTCAGTGACTGAAAAATACGTAGGGCCCAGTTCTACCTTCAGTTATACAAGTGTAATTTCTGTTGATATCAGTTTCTGTGGAGCCATTCCCAGAGATGAGTTTCATTATTGATGTAAGCATTATTCATTATTGATGTTTGTTGAATTGGCCAGTACTGCATTTATGTTGCAAATGTTAAGCATAACAGGAGAAAACCATTTTGGAATTAATAGAAAGACCTGAGACTCCAGTTTCTCTCTAAGGGCTCTTATTGACATTGAATGGAAGAAGGACACTTATGTTTCTTGAAACAAGTGGCAAGTTTTATCAGGAATCATTTTATTAGGCAGTGGTGATAGGTACCTATATTTGTAAGACTGCCAAAATCTCTCTCTAAGGTCAATGAACAATTTCGGCATGCTGCTTATAAAATTATGAAGTGAAATTAGTTTTAAGCACAGATGGTAGTCAGTATGGCATAGGTAACAAGTAATTTTTTATTTTAAGTACTTTACAAATATACAGCAATATAATACATTGCAAAAATGTCACACAGCAGATTAATTTAGCTATATGTACAATATAAGATTTGCCCTTATGAGAGTCTCTCTCACTAATTTTATACTGTAAACCTCACACAGATATACTAGTGATTAAAAGCCAAGATTTTTGTTTAGTGTATAAGGCCCCACAGTGAAGCAAATGGCAAAACTCTTGACTTGAGTACAACTAGGCCCTGATCAATTATGCCAGCTAAAACTATACTTTCCTTTATAGAGTTAGCCCCTATTTTCTTCAATATACCACATAAGAAATACATTTATTTTTGAAGTTAAATGCAGATCTTGTCTCTATCAACTAGAAAATTTCTAAGTCCTGCAGGTTTTACTTTGAATCAAAAAGCCTATGTAATTACTTGGCAGTACATAATCGTTTGCTTTTCCTAGTATATACCTATTTACTTTGCTGTTTGTCATTATTAAGTTCCTATAAAATACTTTAAGAAAGTCTTTAAGGAAGAACTCTTTCAATTCTTGCTAACAGGAATGGACACCTTTTTACTCATTGCAGTGACTGTCAGACCTAATTTCAATGAGACATGCAAAAAAGAAATCTTTACACCAGCTTTAAGTGATCAGTTTTCCAAATAGCAATGGCATATTGTGTGTGGCTGAGTGCACGGTACTTGCAATGGTGTGTATCATGCTGCATATGTCAGAATTATCAATAGACTAAACATTTCAAACTTGTTAATGTTTATAATGAACATTTTCAAATAATGAGAACTATTTGTCACGCTATAGAAAGCTTCCTAAAATGAAAGACTTCCTTGTTATCATCTGTTTTTTGACATATTTATCTTTTTGTCATGGATTCCTAGGAAGAAAAGTTTCAAGATGATTCGGTCCCAGTCCTTGTCATTACAAATTCCAAACCAAGACGGAAAGGCACCATCAAATACTTCATTTCTGTCTCCTGCAACTCCAGTTGTTCCAGGTGCTTTTCAGCAAGTCTCAGTGCTATACAATGTACCAGAATTTCAGAGAGTTGCAATTAGTGGGGATTACTGTGCAGGGGTAAGAAATCTTTTCTTTTTTTATCCAGAAAAAACCCCTTATGACTATGAACAGTGGAATGATTGTATATTATGACCCCATATTATTATACAATTGTACAGTGCCTGCTAAAGTTATTGGAGATGTACGGGTGTGATGAGGCAGAATATGTTCTCAATCATTTGTGTGTGTGTATATTAATTGGTAAAGAAACACAATGTAACAAGGCATTAAAGATGTGTTAGCATATGAAGATAGAAGATGTAAAAATGTATAAGCACAGTGAGACATGCAGGCATGTGCGGTTTATGGTGCCACAAACTGCACTTCTGGAACACTAAAATGTGCCTTGCCTGGTATATAAAAGAAAAAAAAAACTGGGAAAAAAAGCAGTGGAGACCATACATCCGCAGCATGTGCCAGAATAAATGGAGGGCTGGCTGTCCAGAGCAGCACCTTGGCTTCTGGCAAGGCTCAATGATGTTGGATTTGTGCTCCTACTGCACCAGGACACCAAGTAATACTGCTGGGGCCAGCACAAGTGCTGGCCTCAGCCTACCTTATCCCTACTCGAGACAATTTGCTGTGTGCCAAAGTGCACATGCAGGAGCGTGTGATGGGACACAAAGTAGCGGCACAAATTTGTGCCTCTGCAAGTGCACGTCCTATGGTGGGGAAGAATGCTTTTGTGTTTAAGGCATTGGACTTTGACTCAGGACGTTGTCTCTGAGTTCCTTTATGACCTTGGGCATGCTTACACTTTTGGAAATACTATCTTTTTATTACTAAAATGAGTTAAAGTTAGTGACTAAAACCAATGCTTGTAGCTGTTCCATTTTTAATTCTTCTTTTTTCTTCCCTTTAAGGTTACAGTTGATGATTATGAACAGGCTGCCAAGAGCCTGGTGAAAGCTCTACTCATTCGAGAGAAGTATTCACGTCTTGCCTACCATCGCTTTCCAAGGACAACATCGCAGTATTTGTGTACTATGCAAGATGAAAACTGGAAGATCGAAGATGAAGTATGTCCAGGTAAGCAAGTATGACTTTTTTTTTTTTTTAAAATAGAAACCCTACCTTAACAGGGTATAGATACCATTTTTTGGTTTCTTTGATGTTTCCTATCCTGAATGTAGCTTTTTTTTGGACCTAAAGATATATTTTCCTCTCATCTGCACACAAGATGGGAACTTAAACTATCAAGTTCACATCTGAATATATGCTTCCCTGAAGATTGGAAAAGTTTTGAATGTGATAGGTTTAGACTATGCTGAAGTTTCTTAATATTACTTTTTTTTTTCACACAAATATTAAAGAAGATATTACTGTAGTTATACTTTTACTAATGAGGGAAAGAGAGGCGTGGATCATATTTTATTATAACCCCGGAAACAAAAGAACCACAAACTACACAGGTTCTCCGAACCAAAAAACATTCTCAACCATAATCCTGGATGAAAATAAACAATTTTATTGGTTGTCCTCTGCTATAGTGATTGGGAGCATTAACCTTTCAGAGAAATAGTTATATTATTTGAAGAATACAAGTAATACAGGCAGTCCTTGCACTTACAGCGGGTTACGTTCCTGGAAAAGGCGCTATAAGTCAAAACGATGCAAGTCAAATCTGATTTTCGCATAGAAAAAATGTTATAATAGGGTTTTTTTATAGAAATCAAGGAACATAACCCCCTATTATAACATTGTTTCTATGGGAAAATTAGATTCGACTTACTGCACTGCACTTTAGAAAGCTTTTAAATTAATATACGCTGATAAATGATATACACTGTACAAAGCTTTCTGAAGTGCAGTGCAGTAACTAAGAGGGGCACTGTGGCCAGTGTGGGACACTTACCGAAGGTAAGATCCTCAGTCCTAAAGTGGGACAGGCAGTGGCTTCTCCCTGAGGTGAGGCGAGACAAGGGTGGGGATGGGGGCTGGCACGGGCTCTGCCAGCTCCGGGGAACTGCTCCGCAGGCTCCGGCAGCTCTGGGGAACTGCTCCACTTCTCAGCCCCGATGGCATGTGCCTCCTCGCTCCCAGAGGTATGGTGAGGTGGGAACGGGGGCTGGGAACTGCTCTGTGGGCTCTGCCAGCTCCGGGGAACTGCTCTGCTCCCCAGCCCTGATGCCATGTGCCTCACTCCCCGAGGTGATGCGGAGCCCCCAGACTAGTTACCCAGAGCCGACGCAGCCTGCGCCAGCCCCTGTCCCCGCCTCGCTGTGCCTTTGGGAGCGAGGAGGCACGTGGCATCAGGGCTGGGAAGCGGAGCAATTCCCCTGTGCCAGCTCCCAGCCCCAGCCCCGTCTTGCCTCTGGGAGCACATAGCTTACCTCCGGTAAGTGTCCCACGCCAGCCCCGATGCCTCCGCCGTTGCCTGCCGTAAGTGCAAGGATAGTGCCCTCTTCTCCATACTTCCCCTATAGCAGGTTAGGGTGTTCTTGGTGTTCGGGATCAAGGTGCCTCATTCAACTAGGTGGTGCCCAATTCATCCAGCCCTGTGGGCCCAAAGTGGTATACAGGGCTGGTCCACAGGCTGCATCTTGGCCACCCCTGGGTTAGACGAACACTTATCTAGGATAGTTTGGATAGGGATGATACTGCCTTGAGCAGGGGGTTGGACTAGATGATCTCCTGAAGTCCTTTTCAGGCCTACTTTTCTATGATTCTGTGGCTTTAATAGATATATTAGCTGTTAGAATCTAAAATGGCCCTGCTGTAATTATTTTTTGAATAGGTTGCCTTTTTCTTAAGATACCTGTTGTGCCACCAACCTTGCTTCACAGATTTCCATCCTCCCCCAAAAGAACTAGAAGATCCTTATAACCTTGATGATGCTCCAGACAACTTGGATTATGTTGTCAAGATGAAAGGAGGAATTCCATTTGTTTATGACAACAAAGAAACAATGGGACTGAACGAGCCTCGGAGCTTGCCGTATCCTGACCTGGAGACCTACACACTTGACCTCAGCCATGTTCTTGCTCTTATTGCAGATGGTCCAACGTACGTTTCCCAATATGTTTTTCCTCTCTCCTCCCTCCACAAGCTTTGAGCCTAATCTGAACCAAACCTTTTGAGGTGTGGGAGTTAAAACTTGAATATCACCATGACTGTCCAAATAGCATTAGCTTTTTCTTTCAATTAATGAACCAAGATTGTGTGCTCTTTTTTTTTTTAAATTAAATATTACACTTACCAGTCTTTAGTCAGGAAGCAGGGTAATATTATGGGATGATAGACTCATAATGCTTCAGCCCCGAATAAAGAGGAGAACTCCATCCAGTGCAACTCCAAGAAGTCCTAGTCTGGGACTCTGGAACAAAGGAACCATTTGGGTTATCCTTTCAAATGCTTTGCCTCTCTTACAGCCATCACATTCCCTAGATCAGGGCTGTCCAGCTTTGGAGTTACTGAGGGCTGCACCTGCATGGGCTGGACATTGCACAGGCCCCATGCTACACAGACACCAGTGGCACCCTGCTGAGTCCTGCCATGTGGATGCTTCCTATGCTGGGCAGGGTCTCCTGGCCTGCTAAGCTGTGGGCTCCTTGAGTCATGTGGGGCCAGCAAGTGGCAGCTGGAGGAGGGGGGGCCCAGAGATCTGGGGATGGGGGTGGGGCAGGGGCAACAGCAGCTAGAGTGGTTGGAGGGAGTGGTGGATGGACTGGAGTATAGGGGCTGCATATCAGCCCCTTGTGGCCTATGAGACTTGAGTTGGACAGCCTGGTTCTAGAAGGAAGGTTACATCACTCAGAAATTAAGATGCAAATCATAGGCAAACAAAACTCTTGTGGTAAAGGTGATACCTTTTATTAGACCAACTAAATAGTAACAAAAAATGTTCTCTCTTTGCAAGCTTTTGGGCGAAACACCCTTCCTCAAGCAAAGGAGAATTGAAAGATTGTAAAAGTTCTCCCAGGTAGAAATGAGACTTCATTTTGCACAGGGGAGTTAAAAGATGGTAGGAATCTCCTGGGTATAACAGTCCATTTAAAAAAAGGTTGCTCTGTGAGTATGCAAAGGAGGCACAAACAATAGGCAGAAGCAGGTTTGTTAATTGATGGTGTCTGATTGCAGGTAGGATGTTGAATTTTGCTTCTGTCTTGTTCAGCTGTGAAGTTAAATCTGCCTATTGTTTGTGCCTCTTTTGCATACTCACAGAGTAACCTTTTTTTTAAATGGACTGTTATACCCAGTCTGTTTAACTTCATAGTGTTTGGGAACAATGCACCATGTGGCCAAACCAGCAGGAGCTCCACATTGCAGGGGCGCCAGTAAGGGCCATGGATCCCTACCTTCATCTTCCCAGCTGAAAGGTTTCCTAGCACCATGTGGGCAGGTGGCCCCACTACTGCTGCACTGCCCAGGTGGATGGGTGGCCTCCTCTCACCTCCTTGGCTGTTAACTCTCCCATTGCACTGCATTGTGAGCTCCCCAAGCACTGCAGCTGCACTGAGCCATGCTGTCTTGTTCTGCCTTGTCACCTGGGGGCAGAGGCAAGAAGCAAAAACCAGAGGATGGGGGAGCCTGGAGACTACAGCTGCAGCAGCAGCCAGAGCATTGAAGGGAACAGCAATCAGGGGAAGCCTGGGGACCATACAACCCATAAGCCACCAGTTGGACAGCCACGGGAGAGACAAACATCCCAAACTATTTGTTGAGGTGCATATAAATTCCTATTTACTCAGTGGAAAAATGATATGCCTGCTTATAGTTAGGCTCTTCCAGTCTGATTCTTACCCATTGTCAACAGAGACCAACCTAAGTAAACTCTTTTCGTTAACTTTGTCTCATGAATTTTCTACATCACACTGTTTCCCTGTTCCCAGCCACTGACTTCCTGCCATTTATTACTTTTGCTAAACCACAGCTCATTGAACGTTGTTTTTTAATACTTAATTAATGTAGCCTGTTGAAATCTTCTTGCCTATACTCTTTTGAGTGTCCCCAGCTCCTGAAGGGTAGTATATTCCATCAGATTTGTTCCGTTTAATCTGAATAAAAGCTTTCTCAAAGATCTGGCAAGCTTTGAAAGTGATGGGTTTAGACCATGTTGAAGTTTCTTAACATTTAATATTTATAAAAAACACAGGAAAGAAGATATGGGTAATCTCATTTCTGTTTTTACTATGCAAACAACTTATTCTGTATGTTTGAATTCTTTTTAATTTGATCATAATCAAAGCATAATCTTTTTTTCCCCTGCAGAAAAACATATTGCCATCGAAGGCTGAATTTTTTAGAATCTAAATTCAGTTTACATGAGATGTTAAATGACATGTCTGAATTCAAAGAACTGAAGAGTAATCCTCATCGGGACTTTTATAATGTGAGAAAGGTAAGTGTGAAAGGGCTTACTGGGGCAATCTATTTTTGGGATAGAGTTTTCCACTCCAGTTTTATAACATTAACAAATCCTCTGAATTATAGATATGACACATTCCAGATATGGATTGCAGGATATCTTCTTGGGGCTTGTCTACAAATGGCTGTTCATGAAAGTTAATCTAAATTAATGAAAGGCATGATTTTTAAACTGAATTAAACTACCACGTAGATGGTCTTATTCAGAGAGGACGTAGCTTTAATCTGATAGTTTTGTTTAGTTTGGAAGTGAAATTAAGTTAACTAAATCAAATAACGGCTTTTAAAAATTCTGTTAGACTCCACACAACAAGTTTGACACAGCCTAATTAAATCACTTTAACAGTTAATTCAGATTCACTTTTGTGGAAGACCACATGTCAGCAGAGCTCAGTTTTGGTTATAAATTTAAGCTGGTATTGAAAAAGATAGATGTATTGAATAATTTTCCTCTAGGCCCTCCTCTATGGCCTCTATATTTCTGTTTTTGTTTAGAAATAAGGCAGTGGCCACTTGGATGCATCTCCAGTGCGTGAGTGGGATAGGGCTTTGTCTTTTCTTGCAGCCGGAGGTGTAGGCATGTGTTTGGGTTCTGGCAAGGCTAAGCAGTCTGTCTTACACCTCAGAGTTGTGAGGCTATACAGCCCTGGTAAGGCTACTGTGAATTAAACCAGTCACTGGGTTGGAGCAGAAACCTTTATATCTGCTCTAATTTCTGCTGGGAGCCAACACAGAACTTGCTAAAATCCAGAAGGGATAATGGTTATCTGAAGCCATCTGTTCCCTTTTGTTTTGGCTGTGCCTTCTGAGAGAAAGCAGTGAAGAATCAAGTCCTATAATGTTCTCATTAAAAATAATGTGGAAACATTAACAAGACAAAATATAACGTCCCTACTTCTTTAATAAGTAAATTGAAGGACAAAAATCCATTTGTGCTGTGTATTGCAACTTTGTAGAATTAGGTGCCCTAGATATATGCCTTTGTCTCAGGTTTCCAGTTTGTAATATGGGAAAGATAATATGTATTTCTTGCCATTCTGTTTCACTGAGATAATGAATGTGTCTTGTTCTGTGAACATACCAAGTGCTACTAAGTAATAGTAACAGCAAAAGGGCTTCAGTGAAGTAGTAGGGGTCAGTGCACTGTTGCATGCACTATCCTTTGAATAAAAATTTAAAGCTGTAGATCTTCCCTCTACATTATTGCTTTCTGTTTAGATGTAGAATCACAATTGAAATTGTTTTGTTCAGTAGCATTTCATGGCAGGAAAATTTGTTATTTAAAGCAAGATGGCAAGAAATCACAACCAGTTTTCTAGTTTTCAGTCTTGTAAATTTGAGCATGTTTTGAAATAAAAAAGTAGATTCCTTTCTGCCTTGCATGTCCTCACAATTTAACAGGGATTCAGCAAACCAATTCTGCCCTCAGTAGCATGGAATCCAGCTGAGTGTCCCAGAGCTGGGATCTATAGCATCAAGAATAAGTACTTTACTTAGTAAACTATTTTTGTTGCTGAGGTCAGTACGTATGAATGAATGTGCAGGGAATGCAGATCTGACTAAAAAAGTTATCAGAAATACAGTTCTCAAAAATACAGGTCCAAGCTCAGTAGAATTAAAGAAAACACTGTCATTAGATTAGGTCTTTAAAATGCAGTCCCTGATGGTTCTGAATCATGAACTGATTTCATTCACAATTTGATTGTTAGATCAGTAGTGTTTAGAAAGGGTGTGGAAAGAGTCTATCCTAACCTCCCTGATTGAAAGTAAAAATGTAATATAGACTCTGCCAAGCCAGCTTTAAATCAGATATATTTGACACAAATTGCAATCTAACCATGGCAACCCAGAACTCAGTATTGACTAAAACCTGTCTCAGATGCTGGATAAACATTTGGGCAGTCAGGATGCTTTGAGCTCCAGGCTGCCATAGTTAGGGAGGCTACTATCAGTGCTGAAAATGGCTATTTTAAAACTAGTGCAGATATGTATAAAAATGTACTGCAGTTAGCTGCATCCTGTCTAGATTGCTGAAATGACTGGTAAAAAGGAAGTCAAAGCCAACCATTACTTTTAGCATGAGACTTTAGAAAGGCATAACATTGCTTCTCTGGAATTTTGCTCTTTGTAGTTATTATTTAATCTTAAAAAAATACCTCAGCTCTGGTTGGAAGGAAGCACACTGGCAAAGGCTAGAAATAGTTCTTAAATGTTGCAAATATATGTTAGGTCAGATCTTTATCTTCAGTTGTTAAAAGAGGAACTGTTCTTTCCTACTGACAGGAAAGACTACAAATTCAGAAAAGTACTGAAAATGTTTCTTTTGTTTAATAAAACAAGTAAAACATTCAAAACCATGGCCTATACTTTATTAAAAAAAAATATTTTAAACTGTGGCCAAAGACTTCTTAAATTTCAACCTTGTCTTTACTGAGGTATGACATGGTCAAGTGTTGCCCCAATTCAGAAAGATTTTTTCCTGCTCTAGGGAATCAGACCATTCAAATGATTGAGTCCAGAGTCTGGCAATCAGATCAACAGCTTAAACTTTGCTGCTAGTGCAGATGAACTCTTTGCTACCTTCAGATACCCATAATCCTTGGCTAGGCAGGAGCAGACACAGCTCCTGCAATTTAATTTGGCTGGAGCCAGGTACTCTGCCAGTGGAGAATCTTGTAAACTCCTCTACACTCTGCTTGTGGCACTCTTCCCCATTCCTCTCTGAACTTCAGATATGCAAATAGGTTAGGGAGTAGAGCCAACTGTAGTGACTTGTAGGGCTGTGTGAAGATTCGGGTGCTGACTGGATTCAGAGGAGATTCGGCCTGATGCAGCGGCCAAATCTCCAAATCAAATCAGGAGACCAATTAAAAGGTCTGAATCGATTCAAAGCTCTCCAAATCTATTAGGAAAACACTCGCAGAGCTTTAGCAATTCAGGCAGTTCCTGCTGGCTGGAGCAGGGAGCTGGACCTGGACTCCATGCTGGTAAGTAAGGGAGAGGGGACCATGGGGGGGGGGACTGCTGGCAGGCCCCATCATGGCTGCCCTCCCTGGCTCCAGCTCCCAGCTCTTTAAGAAAAAGCCCCCACTCACCAGCTGCTGCCAGGCAGAAGGGTGATCCCCACTGCCTCCTACTGCCCCACAGCATGTGGGGGGCTCTGCCACGAGCCCCTCAAACCCTGCACACTCTCCCAGGCCCTCTCTCCTAGCCCAGCTCCTGGCCCTTTAAAAACCAAAACTCTCCTGGACTCACCAGCTACTGCAGTGGCCTCAGAGCTTCTGGGGGCTCATGGCAGAACCCCCCCACATGCAGTGCAGGGCAGTAAGGGGCAGCAGCTAGTGAATTGAGGCTTTTTTTTTTATTTTTTTTATTTTAAAAGGGCTAGGAGCTGGGGTTGGCAGGGCAGCCATAGGGGTAGGCTGGGAGGCTCATGGCAGAGCCCCCCCCCATGCAGCATGGGGCAGCATGCCCATCCACCCCCTAGCAGCAGCTAGTGAATGCAGGCTTTTTGTAGAGAGCTGGGAGAATGGGTGGGGCAGCCATTGAGAGTGGGCAGGGGATGGGGCCAATTCAGAGATTCTGCTGCAGCCAGATCTCAGAATTGGATTCAGCTGAATCTATTTGCAACAGTGATTTGAATCACTGAATAGAATCACTGTCTCCTGAATCTGCCAAATCCAAAGCAAATACTAGGCTCTTTGCACAGGCCTAGACTTGTACCATCTCTGGAGAGAATTTCCTGGGAAAACCTTGCTTTTTCCATTTAGGGCAGATTTCTAGCTGCTTTGCTCAGATTCAGCAATGCCAGAACTAGAATAGGGCAGCGGACTGGGCCTTACGTCCCAGATGTGTAGGCACACATCTTACTAACTTTAGCCAGAGTTCAACATAATAAGAGCTAGAGGGTTTCATCTAATGGATTAAATAGAATTGTGGGAAACACCTAGGTGCAGAATTTGGCCTTAAAAATAGCAAAAGAAGATCACTTGAAGTGTAGCCACTGGATATATACTTAAACTGAAAGACAGTAAGCAGACTTTGATTGTTATGCCAGTTGCTGGTCTTCTCTGACTTTCTATATGTAGTGATATCTATACATTGCTCAAGTTTGGGTTAAGTCAGTTAAGCCACTAGGTTAATAACAGTTTGATTTTAGAATTTCTTTCCATTGCCCTTGTAACAAGGTGGGCTGGCCCTTTTAAGTGGGAGCAAAAAGCCATGTCGTAACAGTCCAACTGCAGGAAATTACTTCCTTTTGAGTACTCCACTGGCAGTTAAAACCCCAGAGGGGAGAACAGGGAGAGTTGAGCTAGAGGGAAGAAGTGGTCTGTGGGCAGGCGGCCAGCTGGAACATAGATAAGCTTGATACTAGAAGGGGCCAGAGCAAAAGGGCCTCTCAGGGCCCAGAGAAGGGCTACACATTTTGATTGGTTTGAGTAAGACTTGCTTACATTCAAGGAACTGGCTGAGTAGCTCCAGCAGACTTTGCCCACAAGGCAAAGTCAGACTGCAAGTCAGCAGGCTCACCAACCCATCTTCAGACTGCACATACTTTTAAGTAACTAGCTGAGGAGCCCCCCAGCAAGGCCAGCCTGCAAGACAACAGGCTCACTAACTTGCTTACACCCCCTTTCCTGGCCCTTGAAGACAACCATGGCTCCCCCTGGCAGCTGAATTTGTCCTGCCCCGCTGACTTTAACCTCCTAAGCCTACTGCCTCCTTTTCAGCTGCCACATTTTTGATGACCTATAGATTTGGGAGGCTGCCTTTGGAGACTCAGAGAAAGCCTTGGGGGTACTTTCTTCCTGTTTGGCCTCAGTCACTTGTTTTTCAAGCCCCTGGCTAAGCCACCTGATGCCACAGTAGCACTACCCTGTGCCTAGACCAGCTGCCTTTCAGGGCACCCATCCCTTTATATAGCCATCTGCGTCTTCACCCCTGATCATAGCCTGTAGCTTCCCCCATAGCCAA